AACCTACTTCTCAGATTCTATCAACTGCTTTTCTAAGGTAAAGATATACTTTTCTTTATCTTGCACATCCTTTTTAGCTTGATATAGCTGATTTTTTAAGCTAGATATTTCAAATTTTAACTCTACTATCTCTTCTTCTGAAGCATTTTTGAGATGCTTTATTTTTCTATTGAGATTTTGGATTTCCTGTTCATATCAGACTTAATTCCATTCCAGTTGATTAATTTGTCTCTCATTCTAGTGATTAGTATCAACTTCTATCTGCAATCTACTATAAAGATGATAGTTCTCCTTCTTTAGCTTAGCTTTATGTTCTTCACATGTTCTTCTCTGCCTTGGATGAGGCCTGCAAAATGACATTCTTTTTTCGTAATTATAAAAGAGAATGAGTAAACTTTTGATTTATATAGATCCTTAAAAAGTGCGTGATCTTGATCAGATTTTACTTTGCAGAAGTATAAGAAAAAAAGTATCTCCAATTAATAAGAAGAATTTTTCTCAAAACTATTGAGTAGAACAAAATTTACGCGTTAATATTACGAAAGATTTGCTAGAAAACTTCAATCAAAAATGCATATGATACTTAGCTAATGATCAACAAGAAAAAATATTATATAGTATATTTGCTTTATTAATAATATAATTTAATAAAAATTATATGTATAAAATCTCTATTTTATGAATTTTTGGAAGTCAAAACCATTACTATCATTTCACTAAAACTATGTTTACTATTCTCAGAGTCAGAACTATATAATATTTTGTGAATTGTACATGCAATGACTATTCTCAGAGTTATTAACACATGTATAAGTGGATATATGATACTTTGGAGAAGTCATATGTAATAGAATTATTGCTTCCTCTATTAAACAATACTTATAAATACCTGATTCTTTTTGCATAGTATAAAGTTCTATAACATTACTTAGTAATAGATAAGGCAGAATATAAGTAATATATAAATATATAAAAAATAGAAGTAATTTATTATACCTGCAATATTAATAGTAAATATGCCTTTTCAATAGTTGGTTAAATATCTTTTTAAGCTTTAACATGTTTCTCATACTGTCAATAGAATCCTTGAAGAAACGTATTAATTTTTTATGATTATGAATCTGCTTATCTTGACTGGAATTAGGTCTACTAGTCTCAAGATAAACAATTTTAAATTCAGCATTTTTTTCTAGCTGGACTACCATCATATAATTGATTCTTCAGGCAATTTTATGAAAATCTTTTCGTATGATACTAGCTGAACTTCCTTCTTCACCTCTTAATTTAAAAACTTTAATTATAGCAAAAGATATGATAGTGTTACAATGTAACCTTTTGAATTAAGCCTATCATATATCCCATGCTATCAGATTTCCTGGTAAATTATTCATTACTATATTTAATAATGGCGTTAAAATTTCACAAATATATAATCTTTCATTTATCAATTTTTCCTTCTTTATATATATTTTGTATTTTGATGATTTTTAAACCCTGAGTCTATAATTATTTATCAGTTAATGAGCAAAATAAAAAATCATATAAACAGATTTCACAAAAATTGCTTGTCAATTACTTACATTGATTCTAACATCCATTTATTAGATCTTACAATTCTACAGATTTGTCTAACTATTCTTCATAATTAATATTACCCAAAACCCTATTTATATTAATTTTCGATTCTTTATTTTAGATAAATTCTTTACAGGCTTCTATTATATCATGATTTTGTTCTAACTTATATTTTTGAAATGGTTTCTTAAAAATATCAGAAACTGATTTAAGCATATTTGTAAAGGGTTCCAACTTAATATCTAGAACACTTGAGCAAATCAGATGATTGAATCTAAGATTCTTCACATTTATTTCCTCAAGTTCTGTTTCTATTCTTTCTCACATAATTTTCTTATAACTAGTACTCTCAGTCATGTACTATTTAATATTACGCTTCAAAGATCATAAATTTATATTTGCATCTTTATACTAAGCTTTTGTATCGATTACTAACGCTTTCATTTCTGAGAGTGAACATAGATCTTTAAATGCAGTTGTGATCTAAAATATATTTAAAATTAGTTTTTAAGACTCGTTTGATAAAATAATTTCATTTTATAATATTGCGAGATCAGGTTAGATTTCCATTTTCATAAAGTCTCAAGTGTCAGCAAAATATTTGATATGTAGATATAGTATAAAACTAATTACTACTATGTAGAAAGTAATAATATTACAATGGATATTAGCCCTTCATTAGTGATAATACTATACTAGGAAACCTAAAAAAACTATATCATCATATCCATATATTTATCATAAAAATAGTTTATTATCTTATCCGTTTAGCTAATTTTTTCCTGATACTAAAACTTTGAAGTTTTTTTCTTCACTTAACATCTTTGTGAGAGGACTTATTCTAAGATTCTTTTCAAAACATACTCAAAATTCTTCACCTCTTTCTCGAGAACGCTTGTCTATTTATCTTCTTCTACTTGTATAAATAATGCTGTGGAAATTCTGACGATATTGAGAGGTTTTCTCATTAAAAGAAATTCTTCTATGTTTTGATAAAATAAAAAAGTTAATATTAGTGTAAAACTTGCTAGGCGAAGTAAAAAAATAATGTATGGTAAATTCTAATACTTTTCACCATACTACCTTTTTAAATATCTTGCATTTTCTAATTACGTTCTCTCCAACTCATATTCATATTAGGGGAAGAGAAAGGAGAATATGCAAGATAATTTACGCTAAAAATTTGTATTAGAGAATAAAGCATGTGGAATATGCATTAAAGATCTTAACATTACATTATATATACTTTAACGAAAATTAAAATATGCTAATTTATATCATATATGCCTACATGCATTGACCTTGAGGCGCTTCACATGGCTGAACAATATATTATTTTATTAATATAATATTCAGGTTCTGAGTCAAGGTCTGATCTTCCTGAACTTCTTGAAAAATACTTTATTAAAATAGATTAGAAGATCTAACCCAGAATAGACAGATTATGTATAGCATCTTTGACCAATTTCACTAGGTGATCATCTATCATGTAATGCAAAAAATAAATTATATTAGTTAAACCAGTTAAACAATCGTAACTTTTGTCTTATCTCTTAATCTTAATGCGAGTTGATTAAGATAGTTTATAGATGGTAGGATCCTAAAGAAACCTAGTAAGTTATTTTATTTTGCATATAAAAATGAGATAAATATTTCACCTGTTTGCTTAGGAAACAGAGAATCAGATGTAATTTTTTTAGAATATAATACCTCCTCCAGTGATATACATTTTTGATATCCTAGAGATTTGTTGTCCCAGCTATATATCCTAACCTGTCTTATACCTATATCCCAAATGTCCTATATCTATCCCATCTATGTCCTATCAGCGTCCTATCAGTGTCCCATCAATGTCTCATGATAACACTGTCCCTCTGGTCAGAAAATTTTTCAAACAATATTTCTGACTTTAAGCTTACAAAAAGATAGGCTAGTCCCTTTAAGACTACTTCTATATGTTTATTAGTCTTAAAATATGAGTTATTCTAATGATATTTCATTAAGTCTTCAGACTTAATCTTATACCTATATCTTCATAATCTACTGAAATATGTCTTTTTTGATTTTTCATCAGTGATTTCTACTAATTTCCAATAATTGAAGCAAATAGCTATTTTGTAACTGTAAATATTAGGTCTATAATAACCAATGGCAACTTCTCTCCCTTTGTAATTATTATAGTATATCTTAGTTACTTCTTGTCCAGATGATCTGAAAAGGCAGAATACATGATAATAGCTTTTATAACTTTCAGTAATCAATGCTTGTAAAGCGTTTTTCACATAAATAGCCTATTGCTGTGAAGTTTTATATAAACTAATAATAGATAAATTATTATATCTTTTTGAATTGATCAGAATAAGAAAACTATAACATTTTCTAATATATTTAATATCATATCCAGGATGAAGATTGATGGGTTTAGACACAATTTTATTATAATCATTGTTTAAAATAATATCAATACACTTACTAGGCCTTGGTTTATTAATATGAGTTTCTAACATATTCAATGATTTTATTGATTTTATAGTATTTTTAGTAATTTTAGCTGATTTAAGCAATATTATATTTTAATAAATCTAAATTTATTTTTATTCAATTGTTCAGGTGTAAACAGATTCATAATTTTTAATTCAATTAAATTAGACTTGAATTACTATAAATAGCACAACGTCTTTGTCTAAAATTTGTATCACATATGATCTCCCTAAATCTCTATCAGTTATTCGATAGCTTTAGGAATCTTCTAGAAGCTAGCGAGTTTTAATAAATCACAAGATAATTGGCCAATTAGAACATTCAGGCTAACTTTGGGATGCAGTGTTTTTTGATCCATAGTTTGCATTTTCAGTTCTTTATCAATAACAGATTTCAGAAGATAGAGTTAAAATTTTTCTATCACGAATTGGTGATAATCAGAATCATATTTATTTTGGTAATTAGCAGAGGTATAGTCATATAGAATTGCAAAAACCTACTCACTCACATAGTTCATAACCAGATAAATTTTAGGTTATATAAAACTGTTCCCTTAGGAATGACATCAAATTTTTAAGGCATAAATCCTAAGATACAGTATATATAAATTTTTTGATATGTTAGGATCACTATAATTATGGCTAATTAGGCTCAGATAAATGATCGGCTAATCTACATCTACACATTTAGCCTAAAAATTATAATACTTATCATTACCACATAGTGTACATTGCAAATTATAATAAATATTTTATTAATGCTTAAATTGTTGTTAAAATAATACATTATTAAAGTAAATCTAGTGATAAAGAATTTGATAAGAAATGAATTAACTGTAATGTAAAAAGATTAAAGTGTTTCTGAGTAGCAGTATATGATTATGAGGCCTATTAACCAATACTATATTGAAATTTATGCAATAGTCTAATAATTAAAGTAAGAGACTATTTCTTAGTATTTCTTTTAGACTTGTTATTAGAGTTTAAAGTAATCCTTTTTCTAGTCTTGTTCTTTGAACTCAGGAAATCAAAAGCAATAGCTTGATTTAATTTTATCTGTGAAGGAGAAAATTCACAATGATTTTGTAAATTTTGAAGCTGATTGTCTATTTTTTTCATATTTCAAATATTGCTTTGTTTAACAAATTCAATTATACCCTTAACAATCAACTGTGAAATAACAAAAATTATTAGATGTAAGCGATTGTAAACTACAAGTGCTTATACAAGTACATACCTTCACTTTTTATGCCAACACAATTATAGAAAGTACCTTTAAGCTGAATTGTATTATTTGAGAGGAGATTTCCAATATTTTTATTTGAGTTATTTGACATGTATAACTAGCAGGAGAATCCAATTTAAGTAATAATATCACCTAAATTTCATTCACAAAGAAATGATAAAATAAGTCACTAGTCTGAACAATATACAACTTGAAAAATTCTATCATCAAACCTACTCGAGTGTATAAACCCAATTAATTGCAATTTTCTTATCTTTTTCTCTTCTATTCCAATAGCTTCACACAAAGAATAAAATATATTATTCATTATCTTCAGAGCTTTTATACCTCTTTCATGCAAAAGTTTTGTCCTATTATTACCTTTGAAAGATTTATCAGTCTCTAAACATCTATACTCAGTAGAAACCTTTCAAATGATAAAATCTCTATGCCTTTTCATAATCTTTCTCTTTACTTCAATAATTGCAGATTCAGTTTGATTATGATTTTTCCTATTTGAGAATGTCTGGCTAAATAACTCTGACTTTATGCAAAAAAAGATATAAACCACTTATTATAGAAGAATGGTTATAGTGTTATCTTCCTTACTTTGCCAAATCCTCTGTCTATTAAATTCCAAACATGAACTAAGAGCCACAATTTCAGATGATCCTTCTCTAAACTTCCCGCTTCATATTCATATAACCTGTAGATCAAGATAGAATTAATAATCCAGAAATAAAAAAATAATTTACTATCAGACAGAACCTACAAGTTATACACAGTATTTCAAATTCAATTATGATCAAAATGTGTTTATCGATTGTATGGAGAATCCTACTGCTGAGATTTAAATATAGCATTTCTGAGGCCTGAGATATCAGACTAATTTAGATGTATAAGTAAGTAAATGATCATAATAGTATTATTAACAAGATATATAAAACTACCTATCATCTGAAAATTGTTAAGATACGTTAATAAGTCTTGGAGTATCTGTGACATTGGCTTAAGTTTATATTTTCAAATTTCATCAAGTTCTATCTCAATAAAAACTTCTTAATTGATATAAATTTTATCATTTGGATTTATCACAAATGAATGACATAGGCTTTGGAAAGTCGCAAAATGTTAGATATCAAGTAATAGAACTTGAGCTTTGTCTAATATATAAAGGATACTTACTGTTTGTACCTGCATTTAATACTAAAATTGTATAGAGCATCTTCTACTATTTTTCTTGTAAAAAGAATCTATTTATTCAAGTACTAACTTGATACTTAAGATATTATATCAATGCTGGACACATATCTCAGCTAACTCCACTTTCATCTCTAATAATCTTTTTTCTGCTTCAATTTTTTTAGTTTCAATACTCCTCTAAAATAATTTTACATCTTTTCCTTATGCTTGTAGCTACAGAAATAGAAATAGTAAAAGAATAATTAAAAAAAAAGGCTAAACCATCCTAAAGACAGAACAGGAATCAGTAGAATTACGAATGAACATAGTAATTCTTAACACTGTAACATAGTAGGCACTAGCTTTCATGTAGACTTAGAATGAAATCCACCAGAGATAGTACTCCATTATTAGCTTAGTGTGTAAATAAGCATTTTAGATAGTTGTTCTGGCATAATAACTCAACTCCTTTCTATCTTTTGCATCTAAATATAAAACTTAAATAAAATAGATACTTGCCTTTAATACTCCTTCGTTAAAAATAGAGGTAGTCTTTTTTCACTTTTTGTCTATTGTACCTTCTGTGATCCAAATCACAAATTTAAATATCATTGAGTATTCACCTTGCTTATTATAAGTAAAGTCTAATTTTGTTTTATAGAAATTCAAAATAGAAAGGAAACTAAAGATGTCAGGATTTAAGGCTATCTCTTAATTTTCAAACTATAATTATAATTTCACATTTTTTTTTTTTTATTTTTTACGATGCGTCACTTTGAAGATAAAGGTTAAGGAAGACTATAATGTCTAACCTGCCTTTCTTCTTAGGTCTTATGTGAATGAACAGCATGCAACCTCGTTACTTACACTTACCTATGCGGATTGCCATCAGTGTATAGTCTTACAGTCAACTGGGTTTGATCCCAGTTTTTCGTATCAACTGACCCCCAAATGGATTTTTTTACTGGTTACCAGAATTGGATAGAGGACTCACTTCAGCCACAGTGATTGACGCACTATTTTTACTAAACACTTATAGAGTTTTACCCTATTTTTAACTTCTGAAATCAAGGGATCGGGTTCTTTATATGAATAGTGGCTTTATATCTATAGTGTCAAACTCACCCAGGAATCGAACCTGGCCTCTAATCCTAATAGTAATAAGATCCAGCCCACAGCTGCGATGTGCAAGTCAGTCTATAGTACACTCCAGATCTACTAATGACTAGTTTACCATTTTCTTACTGTATAAGGGCCCCTGAGATTTGAAGACATGAGACAGTATCCATTACAGACCTATCAGCGAAGACCAAGTTTCTGTCAATTCCTGGCTTTATTTGCATCCACTTGTTCTTCAAACCCAGTATTTAGGCATGATAAACGTTGATCAACAAATTGATCAACCAGTTTCTAACGCATATTAGTCTATACGCCTACATGTTCAGTTACATATGAAATTCTTATGAAAATCATCTAGTTTTATGTCTCAGCTAAGGCTTGAACTTATAGCTATTGCAGTGTAACCCACAATAGGAGCTCAGTTGTTATCAACTGAACTAGGAATGCTGATCCTCTAATTTCACATTTTTTTAAAGTAAAACTTGAAAATAAACAAATGTTTAAATTTTATACTATCTGTTAAAAGCTCACCTTTTTTATTTCGATAGTAGATATTTGTGGCTTTTTAGGAATGAGTAATTCATTAAAAAAATTCTAATGATTACAGAAAAACAATCTTGATTTCTTATATTTATTTACTTATAACAATATATTATTGATTATCTGATAACGTGATACACAAATTTGCATAACTGTAATTTAGTATAGTAAATCTCGCAATAAAATGAACACATTTAAATATGAAAAATTGGCATAAATAATGATTTATTTTTTGATACACTGCAAAACTATATCATGCTAGAGAAATGAATAAAATGTATAATGCTATCAAAGAGGAAGGAAGTATGCAGATTCTAAGCTATTTAATACGAGTTCCAGTATCATATTATTTTTTTGCTCTCTCACATTTACTGAAAATATCTATAGCTAATTTGTTTTTATTGCTAATATTACTAACTATGAGATTCTCACTCTCGCTTATATTAGATTGCAATACATTAAGCTAAAATAAATTACATAATGCAGGACTAGTTCTGAGTTTATAATGCCATTCTATGATTTTAGACTATTTATTATACACAATTATTTTTTCAAACGATATTCATCCATTCTAGTTTTTTTTTTAATAAATGCTGTATCATATGATAATTGTGAAGACTCTTCACACTTCTAACCAATAGAAGCGGGATCTACTAGCTAAGACATCTTACTGCACATAATATATATTGCAGAGAAGTAAAAATGACATACTTATTATGCATCATATATTTATCAGCGAAGCATATCCATCTATGTGATTCAGAAAAAAAAATGTAGTAATAAACTTATAGGACAATCTAGTATCAAATATATAAAATTCTTCTAGGCGATTATTGAAAATATAATAGATCTCATTATTGAGAAGATTTTTCTTTCATATCTTCCATCATGATAATAATAACCTCTATCATGTTCACTATATTCATTATATCTACCACATCTATTATATCTATCATCATTATACGAGTCTGAATCATCTGGTATCTTTTCTTCAAAATCATTGTCATAGTTACAATCACTATCATTGTTTGTCTGAACTTCATTAGTTTCTTTCTTCATTAATGAAGATATGGGATCATTATAATATAAATTATTATAGTCATTAGTTTTGGGTGAATTATCTGAACTAATTCCTTTGAAATTATCAGAAAAATTGCCATTAAGGCACTTTGCAGAGACATGGGTTGAAGAAATAGGTACAGTCGAGATGCTTACCTGATCCCTTTAGGACTCTTCAGCTAGTTTAGGTGTAATTAATACATTTACTTCAAGCAAAATTTTTTTAGAACAGACCGTCTTGAAAATTTTGGTTACATAATTTGGAGTTTAATTTTTAATTCTTTTGATAAGTTTATCAGGTACTTGTTTTAGATAAAAAAGCATAAATTTGTGATAATTTTCATTTTTTTAATATTTACGACCTGAGGTCAGTGAAATTTCTGGATCAGTAAAAGAATTAGAATTATTAGAAAAGTGATCTATAATCTTTTAGAGATCTGTATTGGTAATTTTTGAGATAGAATTTACACTATAAGTTTTGATATACCAGACCTTATCTATCTCTATTTTTTTGAATAAATCAAAGATTTTTATAGCTCTCTGAGTTTGCTTACATAAATTATTTTGCTTAGTATCAGAAAGTTGTTAAATAATAAAATCGTAAATCTGCTCTTTTGCCCTTTTCTCACTAACTCTATCACTGGTCATGATATTTTAACCATAATTAAAAATTCTTTAGCATACAAATACTAGCTTAATATCTTCTCTTAATTAGCTTTCATTACGAGACCTTCTACATCGCTAACTTTTTAATATAAGCAAATGATATTTTCCTTACCTGAAATAAACGAAATTTTTGAAGGATTGAGAGATAATGCATATGTAGAATCATTCTCCTGAATAGATGAAGGAATAGCAGATTCATCAAAATTGCGAAAAATTTCTTGAATTAATCTCTGCATATTTTTTGTACTCACGAGCTTTTCAGGAGAAGTAATACTAGAAGTATTTTTTGTGATAATATTTGATTTTGCCTTGCCTTACTAAGTTTCTTTTTCTTATTACATTTTCTAATATCATTGCTAATGCTTTTCTTATAGATCTCAACCAAGAAAGCATCCATTTTCATATTCTCTGATGCCTTTTCTTGATCTGGTATCTTTTCAATCTGCTCTGATAATTTTAACTGTCTATAAACTTTGTGAACAGGTAATAAATCAAATATAACAACAGTTGATACTTTTGATGATACTTCCTTATTATTCTATAGCTGTTCATCTACTATCAAGAGAATCTGTTTTAATATTGCAAGTCTGACTTTAAGCTCTCTAACTTTAAACTTGAGTTCAGTATTTTTAGCTTCACGTTTAGTATTCTCCTCAATAATCTGTTTCAACTTCACATTCTTAGCCTCAAGCTCAGTGATACGCTGTCTCAATAATTTAAGCTCAGATGACATGATTGTAGTATGTTTTATACACAAAGGGAATTGTTCAATATATATAATGATACTTGTATAGATATAAGGAAAAAATTCACGTGATTTCAGCAACCTCAAGTTGTCCAAATTTTGCTAAGAAAATTTTATTAAAATAGTTAAACTATTCTCCATAGTAGTAAAGCTACTAGAGAGCATTAATACATGCAAAAAATAAATACAAATGTTTGGGACTGTGCCTATGATACATAATATCTATGTTAGTCTCCTATACAATTATTTTTTCTTAATTATCTCTTCTACACAGCGCTTCTTAGTTGCAGATTTTTTACTACCTAGTGCTTTATCCTTTAATAAATCTACTATAACCTCTAAAACTCTCTTCACATTCCTACGCAATTCTGTATTATCTTTGAGAGTGTCTTCTGTAAATGAAATTCAATATTTGGTCCTGCTAGTACTATAGATGCCTTCAATACTATGAAGAATGAAGTACTAGTAAGTGCAAGCTATCGCTGAAATTTGCCAAGAAAAAAATATTCCAAACACAAGATTTCTTTATTAAATATATTACATTATTATAATAATCATAGCAATCATTAATACTGAAATGCTTGCTTAGTTTTATGAAGTGCTTTTATATACAAAGAAGGATATAGTAGCCATTCAAGAAAAACTCAGTATATTGCCTTTGGTAACCATTGGTGATAATGCAAATAAATTAGTA